CTCCCCCCGCCTCTGAACCCCCGCCCGGGCTCGGCGAAGGGGGGGCGGGGGCATCGCTACCCCAAAAAAAAGTCCAGGGCCTCCTGCGTGGCTTTCCCGGTGCCGCGGGCAGACATGGACCGCGGCGGAGCCTGCCCTTCGCACAGGCTGACTGCTGAGAAAGCTCGCCTGCGTCACAAACATGGGGATTCTCCAACGCACCTGTGAGACGGCGTCACAGAGACACGCAGGCCCCGGGGAAAAAACAAAGCCGCTCTTCGAACTACCTGCCTGTACTGCCCCCAACCCCGAAGTTCTAACAGGTCATGCGCCTCCTGTCCCTGCCAGGCTGGCTGCCCCAGAGTCAGCAACAGGAAGGCAAAAGGGCTGGCAGGTATCCAAACAAAACCAGGGAATAAAAGTCCAATAAAGATACATTTATACAAAACTTGTATGGTCTTTAATTAACTGCAACAGAAGTGGTATACACAGGTCGATACGTACAAAAAGATGCATAAAACACAAGTTAGTATTTTACATTTCTTGTGGCTTTTGTTGAAATGGAGAACATGACTCTTCACTACCAATACCACGGAGGGAATAAACACAGCAGCAGTAACTCAGATTTCAGCTCTTATTTACAGAATTTAGATGGTAACAGTGTAGAACATTCTTGCTTTCATAAAAAATATCTTATAAAAGCTAGCTGTCATCTACTATTACTGGAGAGTTCTGCTGATGTCAGTATCACTATTCACAGCTTGATCACCCAGTTACCGTCACACAGTTCAGGCTACACCTGCCATGATTATTTCAGTCAGCTCCGAGAGACTCCAAGTCCTCTCCCACCTCATCACCTTCTCTACTTCTCCAGCAGGCCCTTCATCGGTTTTCCAAATTCCAGTGCTAATGCTGACTGCAGCATTAACACAGCAGGATAAAGACATGACAACCAAAGGGGATTAAATATAAAATACCTGACCAATTTATTCCTCTGATTTTTTCAATTTTAATTTTGCCTTTTTTTCATGTGAGGAAGCTTTGGCTGTTTCAGCTTTCTTTGCAGTTTCAGCAGTTTTCTTTTTTGGCCCTTCCCTTCTGGAGCGTATCAGGTCTTCACGTCCAAGTTCAACCATTTTTGCTTCCCAAGACTTCATTTCATTGTTGTACCGAACCTTATCATCTTCAGCAAGCTGCAGGTATGGCTGGAAGAAAATCAGGTCTCGGTAGTTACGGCAGGGGCTTTGTCTGGATAACTGCTATGTCACGTCCTCCCCTTTGATACCAATGTGACTTAGAACAAGACCTGTGCAGTGCGCATCCCAGGTGTTCACTTTCATCTCCAGACAATTCAAACCACATCAAACTTGCACAAAACTACAAAACCTTAGCACTGAATTATCGTTATGTCAACAGATGGCCATTCCTGAAGAGGAAGTTTATTCAATACTGCTAACAGCTAAGGCTTTTTATTCGAGTACTAGCTTGAGAGCATCGCCTTCTGTAAGGAACAGGAATAGATCTTTCTGCAGAACTATTTCAGATTGTTCTTCTTCAGAAAAAACCTGAACCTAGTGCAAGTTCTATGTGCACACTCCAAACAATCTGGAAGAAGGGCATTCAGGAGGTAGGACAGTAAGGTACAGAACACATAAAAATCTGGAGGTTTAGATTAGATTTCAGTATAGCAACCCTCTGATTTTCATACACCCATCTGCAGGTTCCTATTGCAAAACACTGAGAAAGCTGGCAGAAACTACCCCCGCGATAATCAAAGTTAAACTACTGTGTGCACATCACTTGTAGCTCACTCACATTTCATCAACACTGTGAAAGAAATGGTCACTACTGGAATAAAGTCTTTGAAGTCTTGCAGAGGTGAGCTGGGAGCTCCTGAGGCAGCAGGAGCCAACAAGGCAGCTTCTGTGAAACACCCCAAGGGAAACAAGGGGTGCTCCTCTATGAAGGGGACACGGCCAACAGCCCGGATGAAATGCCTCTGCACGAACGCACACAGCATGGGAAACAAACAGGAGCAGTTAGGAGCGACCGTGCTGCTAGAAAGCTGTGACCTGACTGCCATTGTCCCTGAAGAGTAGCCCCAAGCAGGTCGAAAGCCTGTGGGCAAGAATCAGAGACAGAGGCAACAAAGGGAACCTTGTGGTTGGTGTCTACTACAGGCCGCCTGATCAAGGGGAGCCTGCTGATGAAGACTTCTTGCTCCAGCGCCAGGCTTCGCACTCGCAGGCTTTCATCTTCCTGGGGGAATTCAACCACCCTGACATCTGCTGGAAAAGTAGCACAGTGAGCCGCAGGCAATCCAGAAGACTCCTGGAGTGCATTGAGGAGAACTTTTTAAGCCAGGTAATTGGCACCCCTACCCGAGGGGATGCAATACTGGGCCTGATGGTCACCGATGCAAGTGAGCTCATCGGTGATGTCAAGACTGGAGGCAGCCTGGACTGCAGTGATCACGCATTGGTGGAGTTCACAGTCCTGAGGGATACGGGAAAGGCAAGGAGTGTAGTCAGGACCCTAAATTGTAGGAAAGCCAACTTCCAGCTCTTCAAGGAGTCAGTAGGACCCCCTTGGAAATGGTCCTCAGGGACAGGGGAGCAGAACAGAGCTGGCAGATCTTTAAGGACACTTTCCATGGAGTGCAGGAGCTGTCAGTCCCCAGGTGTAAGAAGTCAGGCAAGGAAGGGAAGAGACCATCATGGCTGAGTTGAGACCTGCTGGTCAAACTAAAGGGCAAGAGGGAACTGCAGAGGCAGTGGAAGCGGTGACAGGTATCCTGGGAAGAGTTATAGGGATGCTGCCTGGTTGTGTAGGGAGGGGGCCAGGAGGACCGAGGTGCAGCTAGAGCTGAACTTGGCAAGGGATGCTAAGAGTAACAAGAAGGGCTTCTGCAGGTGCGTTAACCAGAAAAGGAAGGTTAAAGAAAGCGTACCCCCTGCCAATGAACAAGAATGGCAACCTCGTATCAACAGCTGAGGAGAAGGCTGAGGTACTCAACAACTGTTTTTTGTCCCAGTCTCCAGTGGCAACCTCTCTCCTCGCCCCTCCCGAATCGATGGACTGCAAGATGGGAACCAGAGGGGCAAAGCCCCTCCCACTATAAAGGAAGACCAGGTTCAGGATCACCTGAGGAACCGTAATATACAGAAGTCTGTGGGACCTGACGAGATTCATCCCAGAGTCCTGAGGGAACTGGCTGACGTCACTGCCAAGCCACTCTCCGTGATATTTGAAAGGTCATGGCAGTCAGGTGAAGTCCCTGGTGACTGGAAAAAGGGAAACATTGTGCCCATTTTTAAAAAGGGTAGGAAGGAGGACCCTGGAGTCTACCGACCTGTCAGCCTCACCTCTGTGCCTGGGAAGATCATGGAACAGATCCTCCTAGAAGCTATGCTAAGGCACATGGAGGACAGGGAGGTGATTTGAGACAGCATGGCTTCATCAAGGGCAAGTCCCGCCTGACCAACCTAGTGGCCTTCTGTGGTGGAGTGACTGCATCAGTGGACAGGGGAAAAGCAACAGATGTCATCTATCTGGACTTCCGTAAGGCCTTTGGCGCAGTTCCCCACAACATCCTTCTCTCTAAACTAGAGAAATATGGATTTGATGGGTGGACTGTCTGGTAGATGAGGAACTGGTTGGATGGTCACATCCAGAAGGTAGAGGTCAACAGCTCGATGTCCAAATGGATGCCAGTGACAAGTGGTGTCCCTCAGGGGTCCCTACTGGAACCAGTACTGTTTAACATCTTCATCAATGACACAGGCAGTGGAATCAAGTGCACCCTCAGCAAGTTTGCAGAAGACACCAAGCTGAGTGGTGCAGCTGACACGCCAGAAGGACAGGATGCCATCCAGAGGGACCAGCTAGAGAAGTGGGCCTGTGTGAACTTCATGAGGTTCAACAAGGCCAAGTGCAAGGTCCTGCACCTGAGTCGGGGCAACCCCCCAGTATCAATGAAGGCTGGAGGATGAAGGGATTGAGAGCAGCCCTGACAAGAAGGACTTGGGGGCACTGGTGGATGAAAAGCTGGACGTGAGCCATCAATGTGCGCTCACAGCCCCGAAGACCAACTGTATCCTGGGCTGCATCGAGTGAGCCAGTCAAGGGTGGTGATTCTGCCCTTCTGCTCCGCTCTGGTGAGACCCCATCTGGAGTCTTGCATCCAGCTCTGGAGACACCAGCACAAGAAAGACACGGAGCTGTTGGAGCAGGTCCAGAGGAGAGTGACAAAAATGATCCGAGGGCTGCAGCACCTCTCCTAGGAGGACAAGCTGGGAGATTTGGGGTTGTTCAGCCTGGAGAAGAGAAGGCTGTGGGGAGACCTTGTAGCAGCCTTTCAGTACCTGAAGGGGGCCTACAGGAAAGATGGGGACAATCTTTTTAGTAAGGTCTGTTGTGACAGGACAAGGAGTAACAGCTTTAAACTAAGGGAGAGTAGATTTAGACTGGATATAAGGAAGAATTTTTTTACCATGAGAGTGGTGAAACACTGGCACAGGTTGCCCACAGAGATGGTAGATGCCCCATCCCTGGAAACATTCAAGCCCAGGTTGGACGAGGCTCTGAGCAACCTGATCTAGTTGAAGATGATCCCGCTTGCTGCAGGAGGGTTGGGCTAGTTGACTTCTAAAGGACCCTTCCGACCCAAAGCATTCTATGATTCTATGAAAAGTAATGACAATATTTTCAAGACACACAAAGAAGATCTCAAGAGTATTCTCCTCAGTATTACATTTTGAGTAACCAAGTTCAAAATCTTGTATGAATTTATTAATTTTGACTCAAGTTTGTAATTTTACAACTAGTTCAGAGACTCATCAAAATCCACTGACATACCTGCTTTTGAGAACTGGACATTTTTCGCCATGCATCAAATAATTGCTTCAGCTTTGCCTACAGGATATAGAACATGCAATAGATTATTTTAACAGCAGACTGACCATAGAGGGTTACAGATGAATTCCATGCTAGTGAAAGCCAAGTATAAACCAATGTAAAAAAGCACAAAGTCACATGAGCTTCACGTATCTTAACACAGGTCAATAATAAACAACATGGTTCAACAAGTTGCTGGGCATCATGTGAGCCACATTTACAGATAATATAAGCACGAAGCAGTTTAAGTTACTTAGCCTGCCATAAAGGCAGGCAGACAGAACAGCTGAGCCAATTCATAGCAACATGACTATATCTCACCCTGCATACTGTTTCCATGTAAACCAAGCCCTAACTTAAGCCAAGCCCACACAAGTATTAACCATCTTCACAGGAAACTTTGTACCACTTCAGGAGTATTTTGCCGTGTGTGTGTCAAACCGGGCCTCAGCTGATTGGAGATGCCTGCCTGGTACATAGAAAATCAAGGAATAAACTATTTCCACTGTCCCAATTTACTTGCTGCTAAACATGTTGACATCCTAATTAAACTGGTCTTCATTAACACTACAAGATGATTCTGCAAGCATATGTTTTCATGACACTGCATTATCACCACTTCCCAACCAATGACATGCCAGGGTAAGGAAGATACTAGGCGTACAGGGGAGGCCTCCAGTGCTTCAAGGACTGTAATCCATCAGTGTAAGTTGTATCATCCCAAAGCTCAGTTCAGTGCAGAACTTGTGACTTTGCTATGGAACATGCAAGAGTTCCTCAGCGTCGACTGTGCTCCAGGAGGTACAATAACCACTGTTACAGAAATGGTAGCAGACCACCTCAACCATCAGAAAAACTAATGTATTTCTGCATCAAAACAAGGAGAAGTAGCATTCTCTCCTTACAGAAGGAACAGATACAAGTCTGTAACACTGAAGTGCAAAAAATAGCGTGAATATGTTAAGTCTGTATACCCACACAGCAGTTTATAGAGGACATATCACCAGCAGTATAGCCAGATCACCGCAGCCTAAAAACAAAATAAGCTAAGCAAAACAAAATCCAGATAGTGAACTACCGAACAGTTTCTTTGAAAAGTGACTGAATCTAAAACAAGTTTTATGAATACAGTAGATCTACTTTAAAAGACAATCTTTCCTGGCTTACCGCAGGTGAAATCCCCTCACTTTCTTGAAAGTTTTCTGACACAAAAATGTTAAAGCCACTACGAGGTCTTTTAGGTTTTCCAAGCACAGTCAATTCCTTTAAAAACAACAAGAAAAGTTATTCAATCTACCAATCATGCATTTTTCCAAAACTAAACTTACCATTGTCTGTATAGTTCATACAATTACCAGACTCAAATTTATTTTTGGTGTTTTATTCTGTAAACTGGACTGTATGTCAAGATGTTCTCACCACTTGTCGAAACTACTGCTAAACTACATTAAGAAAAGCTAACAACTTGAATTTTCACAGACATTACAAAAAAACCATTTAAAACTGATTCTTACTTCAGTCAAGTCTTCCAGAAACCAGACTCTTACTAAAGTCTGCTCAGTAAGGAAGTCATGACGACAGGTTTTTTATTATCGTTGTAAGGCTTCGGTTTCTGGTGCTAAATACTGTATGTTTGCAGAGGAGGGCAGATCCCCAACTTTGTGGGAGGTGAGAAGGTGGAACAGAGCCAGCAGATTTCCAGGGAAACAGAACTAGGTTTGTGCTATCAGAATACTTTGCCTACAGGGATGATGGTGAGAGAGGGAAAGTACAAGTCATGGATGCAATTACACTTGTTGTTTTCTCCAGCCTCAAGACATTTCCCCTGCAGCCTGGGTGCTGGAAATTAACTTCTGCTTAGGTATTAGGTATGCTAGTTAAATTTCTTCTGGTGCCACACTCTTACAAAGGATCAGAAGAATCATTTGGATTAAAAACTTCCTCTAAGTAGGAGTCTTTTAAACCAAATTAATTTCACTTTTGCCAGTTAGGGCAATGTCACACCAGCAGTTTAATTCACAGAAATGAACAAGCAATAAGTAACCCCTTCAACTGATTTTGCCACTGGACAAAGCATAATATTGTACCCTTACAGATGGTTCTCTCTCTCAGGATTTGTATATAAACCAACTAAAAGGGAATATGGAAGATGCTCTGTATGAAGAAGTCAATAATGGGACACTAACAGACACACCTCTATGCAGGCCTAGTTCAACACGTCAGCAGCTACACAGGTAGCAAAGTGGCAGAATCCAGTGAAAGGAAGGAAGAAAGGCTACTTCAAACAGCTACTACCCTGTAAGAGCCACTGAAGTAACAGATACAAGGCCTTCGTGAAAAGCTATTTCTGGATGTCTTCCCAACCAAAGCAAGTGGTGCTGATTCAAATGTCTTATCACCTATCATTACTCAGGCAGCTTTAGGAATAGGAAGAAAGAAGCATAGAGCTTTTCTGTTGCTCTTGTATTTCTAAATATGCCTCAACTCTGCTCTGAATACTAGACAAATAGAATTCAGGCTCCTTGAGAGCAAAGAAACTTGAATTTTGAAATACTTACTCTTTTTGCCCTGAACGACCTTCTTTTTGCCAGTCGTTTTCTCCTTTCTTCTCTCAAAGCCACAGCCTGGGCTGGAGATAGCTGTGCTTTATATGCGGCCAACTGCTCTTGATACCTTTGCCAGTCTGTCTTTCTAGCTTCCTCATAAACCTACAATGCAAATAATCACCAACTTTAAACAAATGCTTTCAGTCAGAAGCACCTGACCGTTAAACTAGTTAAGACCTCCAACCTACTAACAACAAAAATAGACTACCCTGGAACACAGTATTTTTGAAAGCAAAGTAGCAATTTCAGATCTGTTTGATTAGCAGAATGGATTCAGTAGAAGTCAAGATTCAAAACCTGGGTCCTTCCTACGAATTATCTCAAGTTAATCTGATAACATTGGATGCATCTTCAGACGCAGCTCAAAGCAGTAACAATCTTCCATACAGGAAGCAAAAGCTGAAGCTTGGTCGAGTGATTACTCTTCAAGTGCGCGTACCCATGGCAGCACACAAGCGCTCCAGTCACTGAACACATTCCTACACCGACCGACACCAGGTACAGAAGCATCATAAAATCATGGCCTTGGTCCCAGGGCACCAAGAAGAGTTGAGCCACGCTACCAAGCATCCAGGTAGACATGAAAAATGACCACCTTGTTCTCCATTTCAGACATATAAATGAAAAAGCGTATTTTATACCAAGGCACTTGAAGCCAGAAGTCCAGAAGGGATGTAAGAACGCCTGAAGTCTACTGAAGAAAGATATTACTCCAGCTAGAAAACTGCAATTAGTTCCTAACTGGATCTAATTGCTAACTGCAATCAAGGACGAACAGTCATTACTTTGCTATAAATGGCACCTATATGCAGTAATGATTAGCAATTCAGAGAGTTGCTTTACATTATCCCTTGAAACTGCCACTCCTACAGAAACTTCACTACCTAGGACAAAAAGTAAGTTTATTAGATGAAACAAAGTAACCTGCAAGTTAGGCCTCTGGTCACTATCTAAACATCAGAAACAAAATTGGTCCTTTCATCAAAATTAACTGAGGTTTCACCTAACTTACGCATATGAAAGCAGAACATCTTTACAATACTTATGTTATTAAATGTGTAATGCACACACACACAATTAGCATTCAAAAAGAAATGAGATATTGCTTCCCAGCCCCACAGCCACATAGAGCGATAGCTGTGTCGTTTGTTTCTCTGGCAACAGATTAAAAATGCTAAAACTCAGATCATGTGTAAAAGTATCAAAGTATCTTCCCCTGAGTACTTCAAAGCTCACACTTCTCTTCAGAGTGGTTTTTATATCTGAACCTTTGTACACAAGTGCTTTTTTACTGTGTTTTTTTTTTTAAAAAACAACAATCCCACCCCACCCCCCAAAACAAAAAACTCAAAAAACCCCCACACCACAGACGACACTGAAGCAAGTAAAATAACCAGTAAGACACTACAAGAGTTCCAAGTACCCAGGGCAAAGATACAAACTTACCTGTTTCTGTGCTGCTGGTAACTCCTTCCAAGCATCTGCTATTTTTTTAACCAGCTCCATGTTGCTCATTTCTGTATATTAAAATTAGAAAGCAAGAACATAAAGATCAATATTGTATTTTTAGTAAGCTTCTTCAATTTTTCCTAAGGAAAGCTGTCACTAGTATCTTTTTCCTGTACAAATACATTTTTCTCCTTTCATAAAACTAACTAACTTACTGTGGCAGTTAATGGGAACTGTAATGGGGGGGGGGAAGTCCCTGCAGTTGGTTCAATTCAAATGAAACATGCAGTTGTAAACTCAAGCACCATTTCAAGACAGACAGCTATTACCACTCCACAAAAGTTTCCCTTTTGACTTGGGTCCTCTTCTATACAATGCAAGATAGTCTGAACTTGGGGGGTGGGGGTGGAGGGGGTGTGGAGGGAGCAGGGAAGAAAATAAAAGTAACATTTCCAGTTCTCAGTTTTCTGGGAAAAAGAGTCTGCTGGATTCTCTCTTCAGAGCAAACATAATGTGACCTTATCCACCTGATATAGCACATACGCTTGATCTTTATTTAAAGTCCTTTATTTGCAATATTATTCAACAGAAGTAATGTTAAAGTAATTACTTTCTTCCACAAATTTGCTTTCTTTTTCAGCTGACTGCCTTTGACTCTGGCCCTTGTGCTATGGTCATCTGACGACGTTTCCAGACCTGAATTTGTGAACGGGAGAAAAAACCAAAACCCAAACAATAATTAAAAAAAAGATATAAGCTTTTATTTTCCTGAAAAACCCTTTCCAGGCTTTCCCTCTGATTCATGCTACAAGAAAAAAAATAGACCTTCCTCTGCCCCACCTCAAATGTAAAGTTCAGCTGGCTCAACAGTGGAAAAGCAGAACTAAGCTCTTACCAGTAACCTGACCTCCAGAATTCTGGAAAAACAAGACAGATGGGGAGTTTTTAATCCAAGCAGACCAATCTTAAAACCTTTGAAAACAAGATGCTTTGCCAATGGTAAAATAAAAAAGAAATTATCAGGTTATTTTTGAATATTATCTCAATGGGAAAAAGAAAGCCAGAAATTCTCAATTTGTGTGTGAGATACAGTACATATTTGCAGATCATTTGAATTTTGGAAACATGCGGAAAACACTGGTGTGTGGCACATAACTACAATAAGCTCTGCAAGTTCATTTCTCAACTTTTCAGACTGTTGAACTCCTGAACTACCGAGCAAAACAGGATATCAAATGGTTTTCCCTACTTAATTTTACCCCATGGCTTGTCCAGGATGACCATAGTTCTTTAAACTTTTTAGCATTACTTTCAACAGTATTTTCAAAATCAGTGCAGCTTTCCACATTGCTGCTAACATGAGTGACTGCATTGCCTACAAATTAAGTTTTTGATAATAAACATATTCACACATAACCATTTTCCTCTAAACACATTTACTTTTTCTTTTTGTTTGATGACACAAAGCTGGGAGGAGTGGTGGATACACCAGAAGGCTGTGCTGCCATTCAGCGTGACCTGGATAGGCTGGAAAGTTGGGCAGAGAGGAACCTGATGAAGTTCAACAAGGGCAAATGAAGG